GTCCACTGGAATCCATTTTTAATGACATAAGCAGGAAAAAAAATCTCGTATTCATACTAAAAATTCCAACTAGACTCAACAGGAATAAAGTTTTCATTTGTAATGGAAAAAAAAGAATCTGAATTCATTATAGCTCACTCCAACCTCTCAGTCCTAGGATCCAGGATCCAGTGATCTTCCTGCCTCAGCTTCCCAATCAGCTGAGACTACAAGTGCACACCACCATGCCCAGCTTATTTTTCTATTTCGGGGGTCTCAGTTTTGCTCAGGCTGGTCTTGGACTCCTAACCTCAAGCAATCCTGCCTTCTTGGCCTCCCAAAGTGCTAGGATTACAGGCATGAGCCACTGTGCCAAGGTCAAAGAATCATGTTGCAATTCATATGATTTTATTTTAATCCAGAGGAGTTCTGTGGCTTTCTATTCCATCCAGGGAAAGGTTAAGCGAAATTAAGCATAAGGAATAGTGCTCCTTTATCTCGGAGGCTTTTAATGGGGAAGAATTTTACAATAAGCACCCCAGAGGCCTTGGATTCTCACTATTATTTGTCAGATACTTAAAAAATTGGTCCAGATAATCTCAAGAATTCTCTCTGGCTTAGAAATGTTGTGATCCAATGAACTGATTTAGAAGGCTGTAATAATTTATATGGGACCTGGGAGTAGATGATAAATACTTGGTTGATTCTAGGCGATAGTCAGCATTCAGTCCCATTAGAGAGTCATATAGGCACTAGGAGAATGTGGTGCTCAGAGTGTTGGTAACGGAAGAGCCCGGGACTGGGAGTCAGAAGACCTGGGTTTAAATCCTACTTCTGTCATTTAATAGTACCTTATTCTTTATAAAGCATTTTGGTTTTTATTAGTATTACTATTTTTGAGACAGAGTCTCACTTTATTGCCCAAGCTAGAGTGCCATGGCATCATCATAGCTAACAGCAACCTCAAACTCTTGGGCTCAAGCAATCCCCTTGCTTCAGCCTCTAAGTAGCTGGGACAACAGGTGTCTACCAAGATGCCCAGCTAGCTTTTCTATTTTTAGTTGAGATGAGGTCTCACTTTTGCTCAGGCTGATCTGGAACTCCTGAGCTCAAGCCATCCACCTGCCTCGGCCTCCCAGAGCATGAGCACTAGGATGTCAGGCAGGAGTCACAGCCCAGCCCACAGAACACTTTAATGTACATTATTTTGGTCGTGCTGTATGTCTGGGAAGATAACTTGAAACAATTAGTAAACTGTAAGACAGGGTGCAGGGTGTCCATACAGTTTATGTGCACTTAAAAATGCACATGAACTGTATGGACATCCAATATAATCAAGTGCCAGTTAGGTGGTACAGATTCAAAAGCTGCAGTTAAAATATGAGGTTAATTAGTGTGGGTCCAGAGTAGCTGTAAATTGGAAGAGAGAGTACTTGAATCGGGCCTTGAAGGCACGTAGGATTTGAGCGGACTGGTGGGGTGGAAGGGTGAAAGGAATCTTGGTACAAGGACATCCCTGTAGGAAGGAATCTAGCATGTTGAGGGACATGATGATCTTGAGGGACCATCTTGTCTTGAGCAAGGCAGAGCATATATGGGGGATTGAAGTGGCCTTAATATTCTGGGAGTCTGAGGATTAATATAACACAAGTCTCTAGAGACTCCTGCTTTTCTTATCTCCCTTTTCGGTCATTTCAACTTGAAAATAAACATGGCTGGACGTGTTTAGCCATTGCCCAGTCAGAGGAGGGAAAATCTTTTCGTCTCTCTAATATTTTTAGCGACTTTAACATGATACTCATTTTTCTCTTTCATAGATCACCACAGAGCAGTTAATAAGAGACCATACTCAGCACTTTCTGAATGGAGGTGAAATAAAGGTAGAACAGCTATTTCAAGAATTTGGCAGCAAAAGATCTGATATTCTTCAGTCAGATGTTATCAACGATTCTGAAAAATGCTTTCCTGTTGCTTGTCAGGGTAAAAGTTTAGATAACTTGTATTCAGTAAAATCCAACAGTTCATCCAAAGCACCTAAAGTGGTCCCGCTGACTCCAGAGCAAGCACTGAAGCAGTATAAACACCACCTCACTGCTTATGAGAAGCTGGAGATTATCAATTATCCAGAAATCTATTTTGTGGGTCCAAATGCCAAAAAGAGACATGGAGTTGTTGGTGGCCCCAATAATGGGGGATACGATGATTCAGATGGGTCCTACATTCACGTACCTCGAGACCATCTAGCTTACCGATATGAGGTGCTGAAAATTATTGGCAAGGGGAGTTTTGGGCAGGTGGCCCGGGTCTATGATCACAAACTTCGACAGTACGTGGCCCTAAAAATGGTGCGAAATGAGAAGCGCTTCCATCGTCAAGCAGCTGAGGAGATCCGGATTTTGGAGCACCTGAAAAAACAGGATAAAACCGGTAGCATGAATGTCATCCACATGTTGGAAAGTTTCACATTTCGGAACCACGTCTGCATGGCCTTTGAATTGCTAAGCATAGACCTTTATGAGCTAATCAAAAAAAACAAGTTTCAAGGTTTTAGCGTACAATTAGTACGCAAGTTTGCTCAATCCATCTTGCAATCCTTGGATGCTCTCCACAGAAATAAGATTATTCACTGTGACCTGAAGCCAGAAAACATTCTCCTGAAACACCATGGGCGCAGTGCAACCAAGGTCATTGACTTTGGGTCCAGCTGTTTCGAGTACCAGAAGCTTTATACGTATATCCAGTCTCGGTTCTACAGAGCTCCCGAGATCATCTTAGGAAGCCGCTACAGCACCCCTATTGACATATGGAGTTTCGGCTGCATCCTTGCGGAACTTTTAACGGGACAGCCTCTCTTTCCTGGAGAGGATGAAGGTGACCAGTTGGCCTGCATGATAGAGCTGTTAGGGATGCCACCACCCAAACTCCTGGAGCAAGCCAAACGTGCCAAGTACTTTATCAACTCCAGGGGCCTCCCTCGCTATTGCTCTTTGACCACCCAGGCAGACGGGAGGATTGTGCTTATGGGGGGTCGCTCACGAAGGGGTAAAAAGCGGGGTCCCCCAGGCAGCAAAGACTGGGAGACAGCACTGAAAGGGTGTGATGACTACTTGTTTATAGAGTTTTTGAAAAAGTGTCTTCACTGGGACCCCTCTGCCCGTCTGACCCCAGCTCAAGCATTAAGACACCCTTGGATTAGCAAGTCAGTACCCAGACCGCTTGCCACCACAGACAAAGTGTCAGGGAAGCGGGCAGTCAATCCCACAAATGCTTTCCAGGGACTGGGTTCCAAGCTGCCTCCAGTTGTTGGAATAGCCAATAAGCTTAAAGCTAACCTGATGTCAGAGAGCAGTGGCAGTATACCTCTGTGCAGTGTCTTGCCAAAACTGATTAGCTAATGGACAGAAATATACTCCGAGATGCGTGTGTATGTATTTTTAATTAACAAAACTGAGAATGGAAAAAAATGCAAGCCCATTGGTGGATATGTTTTTGTTAGACTAGACTTCTTTTTTTTTTTAACAAGGCAAAACATTTTTGTATGACTGTAAAAGAATTCTTCAAGGGCTAATTACCTAACCAACTTGTACTGGCCATATGGAATATACATTAAATGACTTTTTATAGGTCAATGAATCTTTGTTATTGTCAAATGTTACTTCAACCTATATATCATTCTGTTGGTTCAGATGTCTTTCACTCAAGCTAAAGGGCATACTAGAATATGTACCCTGACTATTCCTCCCTGCTAGTGTCTATCACTATCTGTTCTGAAGGGTTAATTTGGGATGTGGTGGCAGTTTGATGAGAGCCAACACTAGATCTCTTGCCTCAGCAGGCCATGCTCTGGGCTCATTCCAGATGAAAAGACTCACACATTATGTGGGGTGGGACAGCACCCAGACCTGGACAATTGGTGTCCCTGATTGCCAGTGACTCATTCCTATTCACTTCAATTCTCTGATGCGCAGTGTTTTCATTTTATGTTGCTGTTATTGTTTTGCCTCTGACTAGTTCTCTGGGCACTCAGACCATTTTACAGACATCTCATTACTTTACCAAATAACCTTATAAGATGCGAGTTTTAAAACTGAGACATATGCGTCCCTTGCTCTTTTCTTTCCCATTCTTCTTCCCCCATCTCCAAGGAAGATAAAGCAATTTCTTTGTCCCAAATGATCCAACATGTTAAAGGTAGAATCAACATGAAAACTAGGCTTGGCGCCTGTGGCTCAAGTGGCTAAGGCGCCAGCCACATACACCTAAGGTGGCGGGTTCAAATCCAGCTCGGCCCGCCAAACAACAATGACGGCTGCAACCAAAAAATAGCCGGGCCTTGTGGCGGGCGCCTGTGGTCCCAGCTACTTGGGAGGCAGAGGCAGGAGACTCGCTTGAGCCCAGGAGTTGGAGGTTGCTGTGAGCTGTGATGCCACGGCACTCCCCCAGAGGGACAGCTTGAGGCTCTGTCTCAAAAAATAAAAATAAAAATAAACCATGAAAACTGTGAGTCCCCAACTTTGTGATACTCAGGCCAACTACTTGCTGCATTTTCTTTCTTTCTTTTTTTTGTCTTTTTCTTTATTCTTTTTGTTTGTTTGTTTGAGACAGAGTCTTATTCTGTTGCCCCTGCTAAAGTGCTGTGGCATCAGCCTAGCTCACTACAACCTCAAACTCCTGGGCTCAAGCTATCCTCCTGCCTCAGCCTCCCAAGTAGCTGGGACTACAGGCACCTGCCAAAACACCTGGCTAGTTTTTCTATTTTTGCTCAGGCTGGCTTCAAACTCCTAAGCTCGAGCGATCCTCCTGCCTTAGCCTCCCAGAATGCTGGGATTACAGGTGTGAGCTACCTCGCTCAGCTTACTTGTTGCATTTTCATGGACTCTACCTTGTGAAAGTGGTCGTTCTTAGGTAAATCTCACTACAGTTTAAAGGCTGTCTTTCCTCTCTTTCCTCCCACCTGATCATTTCCCCACTTCCACTTTAAACTTTAGCTGTTTTCTAGATCTGCATAAACTTGGTTAGAAGAAAAAAAACTAAAAATCCAGCAACTGGTGATAATAACTGTTTTTCCTTTCTTTTCTCAAATTTTATTCACTTCCCCAGCCTTTCTTCTCTGCTAAGATTTAAAGTTAAATAGTGAGAGCCGATAAGGAAACTAATTGCTGAGCCAAATGCGTTACTTAGAAAGTTGGAGACAGGAGAGACTAAGTAGCTCCCTGCTGCCATTTTTTCCCCTTTGCCTTCCTCTTATTTCCACGTTCCTCCAAACCCTAAGTGTGCCCAAGTTCTGCCCTAAATGTGTGCTCTTCAGAGCATTTGCTTTCTGTAGCATGGTTGATAGAATGATCCAGTTCTGTTTTTATTCTTCTAGAATTTAATCTGCACACTTTATGAGATTGGAAAGAGGCTTCTTTCATTGGGCGCTACAGTAAAAAGTGTGGAAAAATACTGTGCACATGTTATTTAAGGAACTTTTGCCTAATCCAGAAGTGTTCCTGATTGTCATGACACCAGGCTGTGAAAAGTGAGAATGAACAAACCGCACTGATAGTGGTATTACAAGTGTAGCCTTAGCTTCCCAAGCCAAGGGCTAGATGGTGGAGAAGAACTCAGAGGCCTCGCCCTCTTTAAAAGGAGGCAGCCTTGGTCCTTTTGGCGACTCAGAAACTGGATTATAGAACCTTTACTCCTGCTTTACAGACGGCAGTGGTATGTTCGACACCTTGAAATCCCTTTAACTCTTGCCGAATTCTCTTATTTGCAGCAGTTTAAGAACCTCCTGCATTATCTAGGCACAGCACACGTTAAGCTTGTTTTGCCAGTGGTTATCAGCGTAGAAGGCCTGCTCCTTTAAGCAAACTGTGTGAAAAGGATTGCTACCCCAAATGCACCTAATGTCAACTTAGTTTCAGTGTTTATGTTTTGAGTGTAAGATCTTGGCGAGCCGGCACTGGTTCCTGTGACTGAGGTTGGCACGTGCTCTGATCCTGCGTACTGAATGGGCTGTGAGGTTACCGAAAGGTTGTAGACAACTCATCATGCTGCAGACCGATTCTGGGCAGCTCTGTGAGGGTGAATGGATGTGTTTCTGCCTCACTGAGGCAACTTAAGGAGAGTGACACAGAGTCACTAAAGTTGGCCTGCCTGTCTTCTGTGGGCTGATTTGATGATTCAAATTTGGGGAGACTGGGCTGCTTTAAACCAGTGCTGGTGTGCAGATGGATTCCAGGAGGGTGGATTTCAAGTGTAGGGACAAGTTGTGGTTTTTAGAGGCTGTCCCTCTGTGCTGCCTTTTTTGCCACTGTTAAATTGTCACATGGGTGCTTACCCAGCCACCGCCATGAGTGACTGAATTGGATCCGAGTTAGTGCAGAGATCCAGACTGTCTCTTACTCAGTTACTGGATTGTGCTTTCGCTGTTTTGGGTCTTCCGGTCATTTCAACTAAACAGGTGAAGTTGGTTGACTTTGCTGATTTCTAAATTGACAAACTCAACTGAATCTCCAGATTGTTATCAACTGAATGAAAGAGTTGAGTCAGAATTTTCATTTTACTTCATTCCTAAAGTAATTTTTTCTTTAAACACAGCAGATTGGCTGATCCTGCTAATACCTGCTCATTGCTTTAGATTCTGTCCCACTTTCTACCCTCGCGGTGATTGATGTATTCATCGTGTGCTGTCATGATTTCTCCTTGCATTAGAATATAAACTTCATATTGCAGGCCCATGTCTTTATGATGTTCAGAATTTAAACTTTTTTCTTTTTTTTTTTTTTTT